GTGTTATTGAAGCCCAGACAGCCCTGGACATCTGTCAGAGAGCTGAGAATGGCAGAGAGAGACTGTAGGAGGCAGAGGAACAGAAATAATAATAGTTTTGGGCTGGTTTGGATCAGTTTGGGTCCATTTTGGACTGGTTTAGGTCAGTTCTGGTGAGTTTTGGACCAGTGTGGGTCCATTTTGGGCTGGACTGGGTTAGTTGGGGTCCATGTTGGACCAGTTTTGGACCGATTTAGCCCCATTTTGGACTGTTTTGTGTTGGTTTGGGTCAATTCTGGTCAGTTTTGGACCGGTTTAGCCCCATTTTGGACTGGTTTGTGTTCGTTTTAGGTTGGTTTGTGTCAATTTCTGGTCAGTTTTGGACCAGTGTGGGTCCGTTTTGGATCAGTTTAGGTCCATTTTGGGTTGGTCCGGGTCAGTTTTGGTCCATTTTGGACCAGTGTGGGTCCATTTTGGGCTGGATTGGGTCAGTTTAGGTCCATGTTGGACCAGTTTTGGACCGGTTTATGTTCGTTTTGGGTTGGTTTGGGTCAGTTTTGGACCAGTTTAGGTCCATTTTGGACTGGTTTTGATTAGTTTTGGATCAGTTTAGGTCTGTTTTGGGTTGATTTGTGTCATTTTGGGTCCATTTTGGACCAGTTTTGGACCGGTTTGGGTCAGTTCTGGTCGGTTTTGGTCCAGTGTGGGTCCGTATCGGGCTGGATTGGGTTAGTTTGGGTCCATTCTGAGGCTTTAAAGCAGCAGAACCAGGTTTTCATTGGAGCAAAATGCAGTTTTAACTGGTCAAAACTGGTGTTATTGAAGCCCAGACTGCCCTGGACATCTGTCAGAGAGCTGAGAGTGGCAGAGAGACTGCAGGAGGCAGAGGAACAGAAATAATAATAGTTTTGGGCTGGTTTGGATCAGTGTGGGTCCATTTTTTACCAGTTTTGGACCGGTTTAGCCCCATTTTGAACCAGTTTGTGTTCGATTTGTGTTGGTTTGGGTCAGTTCTGGTCATTTTGGACCAGTGTGGGTCTGTATCGGGCAGGTTTGGGTTAGTTTGGGTCCATTTTGAATCAGTTTAGATCCGTTTTGGGTTGGTTCGGGTCAGTTTTGATCCGTTTTGGGCCGGTTTGGGTCCATGTTGGACCAGTTTTGAACCGGTTTAGCACCATTTTGGACTGGTTTGTGTTCGTTTTGGGTCAATTCTGGTCAGTTTTGGACAAGTTTGGGTCGGTTTTGAGGCTTTAAAGCAGCAGAACCAGGTTTTCATCTGAGAAAAATGCAGTTTTAACTGGTCA